GCAAACGGGACGCGGGTGCAATTTTAATGACTGGCGCCCGTTTTGAAGTCCACATGAAAAACGCGGCACTCGCCGTTTGTGGCGGCGCCTGATACGGAGCCCGCGCCGGCTGTGATTGGCGACGGTAACGGCCTCGTCTCCCCGATACCATCGGTGTCATTTTCCTCTCCACGATAAGGCGCCTCGCTGACAAGGCCCGATTAGGGGCAAAAAAATTATTATTACGATGTCTTTCATCCAGCAGGGGCTTAGCGATAAACAGCTCACCCTTGGGTAGATTTAGGAAGTACATAGTGTTATACCCCATAAATACACTTTAAAAATAAAATAAAAATTGTCAACTACTTACAGTCTATTAAAATACTATACAAACTATATTTTCATGGAACAACTTTTCTTTTTATAAAAAGGAAACAGAAACAAAATCTATTAATTACTGGAAACATTTTCCAATGTGCCCAGTGACATGCAATTTACTTTTATATTTGTAACTACAATAATCAAGCGGTGAAACATTTCACTCTCAAATGATCACAGCACCATAAGGCAAACAACTGTCAGATAATATAGTATTAAATTAAAAATAAATTGAAAATGAAAACAATGCTTCATCTTAAGGAAATCTGCTTTCACAGAGCCCCCGAAGAGCAGGAAAAGGAAGGGGGGTTATATGAATATTACCCTAGAACAAGCCTGTAACACAGCGTCAAACAGGAAAAAGTAAATATGACTAATCATTAAAATAAGAAAAATAAACATGTAAAGCCAACAAAAGGTGGAATCATGAATGATGAATGAAATAAATACGTATATGCAAAACATCCTTCAATCGTGATTTTCCTCTGATGAGAAAAAGTACTGCCTGACTTTTGAATTTAAAAATGACAAATGGGAGAATGTTCAAATACTATTCATAGTAATAAAAAACCAAACTCCTCTGGTTTAACCTCAAGACTGGCAGAATTCAGTTAGGCTTAGACTCGATTTAATAAATCATGTTTAATCTTTATTTGAGTCTTTGCCTGTCCAGGGACACCAGAAAAACTGCCTGGTCAATCCCGGTAGATTTATGCTAAGGACATGTCCTACATGAATACTGCTTAGCTAAATTCACCAACTTCACACTGCACCAAATAATAAATATTTCAATAGGCTGTCAATATAAACAAAAAAACAGTCACTTCTGGATAAAGTGCTAAAAAACTTTAAAAAAAAAATTTTAGTTAAAAAATTTTCAGTAGATTGAGCATATTTTGGATGTGTGTGTGTGTGTGCGTGTGTGTGTGTGCGTGTTACAAACAACGCTTAATGCTCTGATAAAGGTTCTCCCACCTATTGTATGCACACACTGCTTCTGACAGCACAAATTACATTAAAAATTAAAAGTTAATTAAAAGCAGGATATATGCATGCTATTTAGTTTGTTTGAATTTGCATGTATGTACTGTATATGAATTAAATATTATTAGATATAAACGGTGCAGGCGACACGGCTGCCTTATCGCTCATGCTTATGATCGGCCCTCGCTGATCTGCCTGTCGGAGAATAAAAGGCGCTCCCAAAATGGGCTGCTCTCGGCGAGAGGGACGGGGTGGAGAAGGAGAGTGCGGGCGGGCCGGCGGGCGGCGCAGGGACACTCCAGCACCCATGGACTCCCGCAGCAAGCTTCAAAGGCATCGCGGCTTCAAACGCAGCACCCCCCCGCATCACCGGCATATTTATTTATTTCCACGGCGGCCCGCTCCGCTTCCTGGCAGAACCACGCTGAGGACGCCAGCCCGCGGAGGCCCTCCTTTAAACGGCTGACAAATCAAGCCACTGAGAAACAGAGCCATGTAGCCTTTAATACGGCCCTCACATCATCATAGGGGCGCGCCGCGCTCCCCGGCCACCAGCGGGCCACGGCTCCGTCGCTGGCTTCAGCCGTTTATTAGCAGAGAAAGGGGCCCTCGACAGCCCCCGCTCCCACCGCCGTCCCCCTGATTGACAAGGTATAATCAGCTTATCGGCCCTAATAAGAGCAGCAGCCTGCCGAGCCCCCCTCTACCTGGCCCTTGGTGAACTTTGGCCAGCTGTGGCCCCGGGGCCCAGACTGAGACGCTCGGCGCTTATCTAAAACACTGCAATCACTTCCTAATGACTGACTTCATTTGGCCATCGATTCAGATGAGGGCTTGGGGGCTGGGGGGGCCGTGTGGCTGGGGACGGAAAAGCTGGTGAGCTACCTCGTCCTGGTGATGTGACGTTCGTAATTAAGGTAACCGGCCATGGGAAACCAGGATCTGTGACTCGGCACACCGACTGTCCGACGGGGGACATGGAGGATTTGCACGTTTACATTCCACCGTGCAGTGACAAACGGTCTGTTTGAAGACAGAGCCCGTGAGCAGAACAGCCCGAGTTTGGCCAGCAGGGAGGCCGAACGGCCCTCACGTGGTTCCTCATGCTGCGCCCACATGAAAGACTCCCGGCCTTTGAAAGAGAGAAACCTAGGGAACGAGTTTGGTTGGACGACACCAGGTGTTTGTCAATTGGCTTATCAAGGGATACCGTTTCATTGCACTCAGTAAATGAATTATGTTAAGGTCAAGTGCTGGCAATGGCGGTCGGCAGCCTTTAGCACAAGCCCACACAAGTGGACAGGGGTCAGGGAACTGCTTTAGGGACATCTGTGCAAAAAGAACAGGGTTTCGATAAATGATGTGATACTGGTATGACACAGACAACTCAAACTAGCAATCAAACCATGGGTTGGTTTGTGAAAGCCAGGGATGCAGAATGGGCAGGAGGCAGACAGCCAGGAGTATCATTAGGGTGCCATCTCTCACCCCCATGTGCTCAGTGCGGACATCACAAACAAAAGGAGAGAGTTGCTAAGTGCTGATGCCTTATGTCTTTCATGTTTTAATTCAGATGCTAATGCTAAATAAGCAAGTTTAACTAATGCTACACCAATTTTATTATGCACCCATAATTCAAGATCTTAGATTGGAATTTAATTAAAACTTAATGGTGCACTAAGCAGGTCCCATGTAGCTGGCCGATACAAAGTGCCAGTGCTAATGAAGCTACATCCTTTATTTATGAGACAAACAGCACCCAGGGGTTGGTATACATGCGCAGAGCAGAACGCCATGTCCATTTCAGCTGTTTTCAAATCCATTACATGCAGCAGTGCCCAGTGCAGCACTGCATGTGAGGCCTAGGAATAAATAACATGAATAAGCAGAAAGAATCCATGCAGGGTGAAACGGCCTTCAGTATCATCAGGCCATAAGGGTGAATGCAGACACGGAGAACAGCTGTGCATGTCATAAGGGTGAATGCAGACACAGAGAAAAGCTGTGCATGTCATAAGGGTGAATGCAGACACAGAGAAAAGCTGTGCATGTCATAAGGGTGAATGCAGCACAGAGAAAAGCTGAGCATGTCCTTCTCTTTCTGATATGCACCTATGTGAAAAAGTTACAGCTGTCATACCCATTTCTGACATTATAAAGTGCTAATCATTTCAGCAATGGCCACAGATATGGTTTCTCAGAATCACATCATTAAGAACAACCGATGCTTAATATATGTGAACCCGGGGGCACGAAACTCGTAATTACCAGTTACAAAAAGCAGTTAGAAAGAGCAAGTGAGTGTGCAAAATCAGTATCATTCAGTAGCACATTTAAATTGCTACATGTTTACACTTAATTACAAGGAATGCACTCGCTTAGACTTTAAAACATATTGTAAATTAAGAATAATATGGAAATATGCATCCTGAATATTCACAAAACAGCAGCAGTAGCGGAAGCACACTGACCACACCGGGTGTTAACAGACAAACAGGTGTGCCACCAAAGTCGGTTTCCCAGTGTCACTGTCAGGTGAATGAGGGACGCTACCACTGACATGACAGCGGAGGGGACAGCCCACTGTGGAAAGAGCGGGGAAAGCAAGCTCCCCCTGATCGGGATCGTAAGATGGACTTAGCTGTGGGAGACAGGTGACGGACACGCCGGATAAACAGGGCTTCTGCTTTCAGTGAGTCAATGGGAACAGAACGTGTGTGACTGTGTGTGTGTTACAAAGAAGGAGAGCGAATGTGTTACGGAGGGGGGAAAGTGAGTGCGTTACGGAGGGGGGAAAGTGAGTGCGTTACGGAGGGGGGAAAGCGAGTGCGTTACGGAGGGGGGAAAGTGAGTGCGTTACGGAGGGGGGAAAGTGAGTGCGTTACGGAGGGGGGAGAGCAATTGCGTTACGGAGGGGGATAATTCTTATGCATTAAAAAAATAACCACTGCATTTGACAGTGTGTATTATACAGTGATTCATCTTTGTAGGTGAGAATAGTGAGTGTCAAAAAGAGGGTCATGTGTGCAGATCGGCTGCACTGTTACATTAACAGCAGGATTGCCTGTGAATTGCAGGATTGCCGGTGTGATTGGGAGCATATAAAAATGTGCATGCCAAAAATAAACAGAATCATGTCTAAAAACACCAAAAGAAAAAGATACATAAGCCCCGGATGGCTGTATAGCAGGGGATGCAAACTGCATTTTTGGATGTGCGAGCTGTACTTACAGCATCAGACAAAGGTGGTCTGTGCCCTCCCCAGTTTAGTTATGACATTTGCAGACGCGGTGTGTTACCAACTATGCCATTATAATTTAAATTAATAAACTTTGTCAAACTGTCCCCTTTCCCCACCCCTCGCCCCCATCCCCGTCCCCTGGCCCCACCCCTCGCCTCGTGCCCATCCTGTTCCCTGCCCCTCCCCCCCCCCCCCCCCAGACCTCTAGCCCTGCCCCTCGGCTACATTCCCTGTCCATCCCCCACCCTTAGCCCCACCCCTCGACCCTGTATCCCGCCAATCTCCCGCCTCTCTTACCCATGCCTGTTCCCCACCCTCTGACCCCGCCCCAGGCCCTGCGCTCATCCCCCCTGCTTTGATGTGACACTGGAAATGTCAGCAGCCTAAGGGCTGGCCGCCTCGCTGGGCGACTGCTTACCTGTCTCCACGGCGATCTGGTAGCCCGCCTCCAGCCGGCGTGATGACCTTTCCAGCCGCTCTGTGTTGTCCAGCAGATGCGCTCTCTGTAACAAATGGTGGAAAATGGGGAAGAAAGACAGTAAACAATAACAGAGACAGATGGTCAAACATAAAAGTCATGTCACCTAAACACACCTTTACATATATGTGAAATATATACAAACAGAGTGAGCAAGAGCGAGCGAGAGAGAGAGAGGAGACGGAGACGCTGCCTGCATGAGCCACTCCAAGACCTGCCGGCTGCTGTCCCCAAACCCTGAACCACTTCCCTGCTCAGCCATGAATGTCAAAGGCCGCATGTGAACCACGGTGCCGACTCAGAGCCCTTACTGGAGCTTGGCTCTGCTTTATAGGTGCTCTCAGCTGCTGGAACTCATTATTTCACATTTAGTGTCCAGGGCAAAGTTGATAGAGGGAGGATGAGTTAATTGAGATGTAATAAATGATAATTTGCTGCTTTCATGCAAAATAATCTGGCAGCGTGATAGCTACAAAAAGATTTTTAAAAAACTCTCAGGAAGCCACTGATTAAAACCGGATCACTAAGGGAAAAATGATGCCATTTCAACACAGCAGACGTTGTGGACTCTGACTTGATAGGGGGCGCTGTGTCTGTGCCTCTACTTCCCAGAGACTCTAAGGCAGCTGCCTCACTCACAAACTATAAAATATCTATCGGCTCAGCTTTGGCCGTCACACTGATGATGACTAAGATCATCGTAGTTATGAACAGAAATGTCCAGTCATAAGCTGCTTTGCCCAGTATGAGCTGACTGGGTTACCAGGCTGCAGGAAAGGTCGCAGAAAAGGTCGCAGAGCAGACAGCCCTGACCTGCAGGCTGCCCGGCACCGCAGCGCCCCACTGCACACACCAGCATCTCGCAAAATTGAACTTTCTGAAGAAAATTTAATCTCCACTTTTTTTCCGCTCTCCACCTAAGGGGAGGAAAAAAGAACTGAATCTGCCGTTCTAGTAAAGCTGTCAAAATATGTACAAACTAATCACTCGAAGAAAAAAAGCGAAAGACGACATATTCCACTTCTCAAAGTTTGACAATGAAAAAGGGGAAAAAAAATCCATCCTCTGAACTTTTTTTCCTGCCGCACGCCGTTGACAGATGTCATTTAAAATTGCAGAAATACTTTTTAATAGTTTAAAGGGGGGGGGGATGGAGCTGGTGCTTCCTAATGAGCCCCAATGGATCGCTGGAGACGGAGGTGCCGTATTGACACGCACACTTAAGCTAGCACACCTAGCCCAGGATGCCGCAGTGCCTCGGAGGAGAGGCGGCCGGGGACACTGACAGAGCGCGGCGTTCCCTCATCTTCAAAGAGCTCCACTGATTAGTATGTTATCATTACCATTCGAAACGTGATTTCCCTATTCCCTCCCGGCAAAGGTGACACGTCTCAGGGAGGCGGCCAGCAGGCTCTCGCAGGGAAAGCCACTTCAAAGCCGTTTCTCCAATCTCTCTCTCGCTCTCTCTCTCCCTCTCTCTTTCGCTGTTTTCTCCTTTTTTTTTTTTTTTTTTAAAACAGAGGAGGGGGTAGGAGGAGACGGGGGAGTGTTTGACGATAGCAGTGGTAGAGCGAGGAGGATCATTAAAACAATGCACAGTGGTCGGCATAGAAAGCTCAACAACATTACAGCAGGACCAATCCCAGCAGACATATGCTGGAAGTGTGTGTGTGGGGGGGATCAATCTTATGAGGACTATTTATAAAGCTGCAATGTCTAAACTGCAAAGGAAGACAAAGACACTGTTTACAGATGAATCTGCCCCCCCCCCCCCGACATGGGGATGGCACTGGCAGGGGAAAGGGCTTTGTCAAATCGATAGATGGAAAACAGTCATTTCATTCATTCATAACATTCTGAAATGGAGGCTCAGAGCAGAGCGCAAAACTCATTTCAGTTTTTTAATGTACTGCATAACTTAGAGCAGAGTGCAAAAGTCACCTTCGTTTATTTGGGGCATGGCATAACTGAGTGCAGTGCAAAAGTAATTTCTGTTTTTTAATGCACTGCATAACTGAAAGCACAGTGCAAAGGTCATTTTTGTTTTTTAATGCGCTGCATAACTAAGAGTGCAGTGCAAAAGTAATTTCTGTTTTTTACTGCACTGCATAGCAGAGTAATGCACAGAACCCATTTTAATTTTTATTGCACTGCTCAACAGACTAGAACGCAAAACTCATTTCGGTTTTTTTTTTATAACCGAGTTGCAGGGCACTGGGTGAATCTAGTCATTTTTATGACAGTATTAAACCTCAAAGCACTGCTCAGAAATATTTTTGTCTCAAGATACATCTATTTTTTCTTGTTTTATTACTGTACAATCACATAATGGTGACAGAGCCACCAGAGCCTGTGGAAGCCGTACAGAGACTATGTGGCAGAGACCCATGTGTATAACTGAAAGTAAAGGTCAGCACTGTAGAAAGTGGGGTCAAACTGCCGATCTTTATCACATGACTGCCGATTTCTAACCCTAACTGATATAAATGTGACAAACATGTCAAAACAGCATGTGCATCTACGGCAGCCACTCCTCTTTGTGTGAACCGTAACCTGAAGGAGCTAAAGGGAACGTTCTGCTGTTGTTTTTTAGCAGGGAACACTAAGTCACCAGAAGCGCACGGCATACGGGCGCTTCGATATCAAAGAGAGCGCCGTTCACATTCAGCACTTTCAAAAGGGCCGATGCTTCCTTATTATTTCAATAAGGACGAGCGTCAAACTGAATAATAAGGACAGCTCTTCATCACCGCCATGTGATCTTTTCCCAGTTTATTTGTAAGATGAGAAATTACAAGTGTCAAACAGCAGTCAATGCAGATGCTAAATATTTAAACATGTTTCTCAGCCATGGAAAAGTATAGTTTTTAAACAGAGCTTAGTATGAATAAGCTGTATGGTCTTTGATTAAAACCCTGAAATGGAAACCGCTTGGTTACAAAAAAAAAAGGGTGAAATGAAACAGCATCATAATTGGCTGCTGCTAACGGGAAAACGCTTCGCAGGTGAGGTGGGGAGAGTCCCCGAAGCTTCAAACACATCCCATCTGCTCTGACTGTCAATGCAGCGGCTAGGAAATAAGAACACAAACAGGGAAACACGAGGGGAGGGCAGCAACGTGCTCGGCACTGCGAGGTCTGCGTGTCCCTGTGACGGGAGGAGACAGGAAGGGGAAGTGACACGGCGGCTCAGAGGCCCTTTGCTAAGCCGCCAAGCGTAGCACTCGCTGCCTTTACACAAACACTCAGCCTGACAAATATCATATTACAGTGATGCAGTGCTTCCTTTTCAGTACTTAATCAGATGAGGAGTAGAGCAGAAAGGAAGGCCCTTAAAAGAGTGCCCAGTGCCACTTTCTGCTGTGCTGCAGGGTATCAGTGACTGCCTGCATTCGGAAGCTTTACTAATGGGGAAATGGACAGCTTTCCCTGCATCTCAATCTAACAGGAACCTTACTGGCTGTTACTGCTGACCAGTCCTGCACACACCCTCGGGGGGCCATGGACAGGCCTGGGGTTCCTCAGCTAGGGCCAGCCTGATACCCCCACAGGGGAGGGGGGGGGCACAGAGAAGCCTGGGGTTCCTCAGCTAGGGGCATAGTGCACTGGCCAGCCTGATACCCCATGGGGGAGGGGGGGGGCACAGAGAAGCCTGGGGTTCCTCAGCTAGGGGCATAGTGCACTGGCCAGCCTGATACCCCCATGGGGAGCGGGGAGCAAGGACAGGCCTGGGGTTCCTCAGCTAGAGGCACAGTGCACTGGCCAGCGGGGAGCAAAGACAGGCCTGGGGTTCCTCATAACGCACTGGAGGGAATCAGGGAGTGAGAGAGGTAGAGTGGAAGCACTTACCTCCTCACGCAACTTTATCAGCTGACAAGGGAAGCGAGTGCACAGAGAGAAAGAGGGAAAGGGAGAGATAAAAAGCAAAGACATGGCAGCAGAGAGATCAGTCATGCAGCAGGGTACAGAATTAACCTTGACGATTTATCTGTTTGCATGTTTAGCATTTAGAAATCACAGACAAACACATTAAACGAAGCTAAACACAGATTCATGCGGAGTTTTGAACAAACAAAGATCAACTTCTTCGCTGTCACATTAAACAAAGACGGAGGGGCTGGATCTCTCCCGGCTGCATCTAAAGTATCATCATCAAGGAGGAAATCAAAATCAGAGTCACATCACAACACTCGATATGGCAAAGAAGAAAAGGGAGAATCCCCACGAACGGCAGCGGAGGCAGCTGCGGGAGCGAGAGCAGGCCGATCAGCCCAGTGTGCCGTGCAAGGCGGGTCTTGCTCCCCCCCCCCATCACACACCTCCCACAATCACACAGCAAGCACAAGCAGCACAGGCACGCATTTTAAACATCATTATACAGAGACAGCTACAAGATAACTATGACGCAAAAAATTTGTATGTGAATCATAAATTAAGTACGGCTATAGTAGGGCTGTCGCTACTGACTGTTAATAATCTACTGATTAATCTGAAGGAAAATCCAGGTACCACTTTACAATAAGGCCCCCTTTGCCACTTGCAAATTGTAGTAACTCATTAATAAAAAGAAAACAGTTATAACTTATTTAAAATTGTCTATAAATAATTTACAAAGTGTTACAAACTAATTAATAACCAGATTATAAACCATTCGTAAACTATTTATATGAGTAGTCTTATTGTAAAGTGGCACCAAATCCAGTAATATAACACATAATATAATATAATAATAAATGTTTATTGCAATTAGCAGGCCGTGAAAGGGACAGTATCCGATGCCGGGGCAGATACGTACACGGTCCATTTAGCTCCTTCCAATTTACTGAAGTTGCGTTTTTTTGATAGCGGAAATCAGTGGTGTAAAGTGCGCATGCAGCCCCTGTCACGAAAATGCAACATTTTTGTATGTGAAATTCAGAAATATTTACATTTAAGACCTGTCTTCCCCATCATCGTGAAATCCCGTGAGTCGTTAAAATGCCACGATCGTGATTAGGGTTCCTTACTTATTTATTTATTGATACATCTTGCGACAGTTAGTAACGATTCGTTGCTGTTTCGCGCACACAGGTGACAACTAACTATTCCTATGAACTATAAGGAAGTAAAACGCACACAATAAATAGATCAGTCTGCTGTATTTTCAATTTCAACCTCATTCCGAAGATGTCTTCAGCAATAAAATCACTGCAATCACATCGTATTAGCTAAAATGTCTGAGGTTATGACAAGCATTTAAAACACATACAGTTTATTGTGAAAAACCTGTTCTTAAGAAACGCGAAATAGGTTGGGCCGTGCCGCAGGTGGGTGCACTGGGAACCAGGAGGCGAAAGGCTAGATACACACGGTACGCACCGCCACTGGTGGAAGGAAACCAGAGGATGTGGAGTGAACCCACGCACACACAGGGTGAACCTACAAACTCCAGACATAAAGCTGCAGCAACAACGATACCCACTATGCCGATCTGACAGCTGTGATGTCGATATCACAAGGGCCGCGATAGTCAGCTGATCCGAGACCAGTAAGCTGCACGAAAACATTTTACTGTCTCAGGAATTAAAACTATTAGCAAGCTTTGCAGTTTAAATGATGGTCCATTTTCGGCATTCCAGCGCACGCTGAGGGTACCATAATCACTCGAGCTTGCTGTTGGACTCACTGGTAAACAGTGTGGTGCATTTGTGAGAAATGTAACAGAAATGAGAAATGAGAGAAGTGAACAAGAAGAGGTTACGAAAAGACATTTGTCAGTACTGCTTTGTGTCTGCTGGAACAAATCACGGCAGCACCACCAACATACTTCACAGATTCTATTGGTAGATAATTTCTTTTTGGCTATAGTTAATTTTCAGTTCCTAAATATCGCAAAAACTTAACATACGTTCAAAATTGTAAATCTTTTCCAATATCGTTCAGCACTATTTGAGACATACAATATGTAAAAAATATAATATGGTTATTATGTACCCTATTATGTAAGATGACGCAGCTAAGCGACTGGGCTAATCGTTTTAGCGGCGATTATTTTATCATAATACGATCTTAGAAAGCAAAATGATTTACGTTAAAGTGATGACAAAGACGGGCTATGCTACACCGAGAGGCTAAATATGGCACATATTTATGGTTAACTTCGCATTACCGAGTGAGTCCGTCAAACTCGAACGTCTTCTTTTAAGATTAGCATTGAAATTATTCTGTGGTGATATTTTAAATTCTGCGTTGCAATACTGACAGACGACTGCATTCGCATCCACTTTTAACATGAAGTGCTTCCACAGAACTGATGCTTTTCCTGTTTATGTGGACCCTCATCCACTATGCCCCGTCTTCCTTCCGCCAAATTTTAATCGATGCTTTTTAATAATCGAGTAATCATGGCAGCTCTGGCATATATATTTACTACTTATACTACAGTGTGTATAAAAATAACCTAATAGTAATTATTACAGTTATCGTTTTATTAATGTTTATTTTGATTGAAAAAAAAACTAAACAAAAATCATTAGTCAAAATCATTTAATGAAATTGGTTAAATATCAAAGCAGACAGCTAACAGCACTCCTTTGCGATAAATGATTTTTGCTTTATTTAAGACTGTCACTGAACTACCGTTTGTATTTAAAAAAACAGTATAATGACTACAGTTTGTTTAATGCCAAGCTCATTGTTCATTTAAAGAGGCAGGCAGAGGCATCATCCTCAGCACCGCATGCAGGAAGATAGCCGCATTTTGCAAGAGGGAAGAAGAACAAGTTTGTTAATTTGTCAGTGGTTGCAGGTGATTTTTTAATCTCCATTTCTTCTGAGAGATTAAAGGTTAGCAGATCTGAGGCAAGCCTGCAGGCCATCATCATCTCCACTTCTCATCTTTCTCTCTGCTGTTTGGTCATTCTCAATTTTTCTACTTTTATAATTCGCTAATGTATCAGAAAGAGGCAGGGCTTGGATCATAAATTATAAACCGGATTCCAGACAAAAGGAGAGCGAAATTAATGCTAGAATGTTAGCGTGGCAGAGGACAACTCTGCAGGGCCGCGTTTGTGACCCTGCGGACAATGCCCAAAGAGCAGCCGGGACTGCAGTTGCTAAAGACCGATTAAGAGATTATAAATTAATGCTAAAATGTTAGCATAGGTGGTGGACGACCCCCCCCCCCCCTTACTACCCTACAGACCAGACCCACAAAGCAGCCTAGACTGCAGGTGTCGAGGGCTTATCAGGTTGAACTGTCATCACTGCTTCAGTCTTAGTGACAAACAGGACATGAGATGCAGCCAAGCTGGGGGACCGTCACTGAGACACATGGCGCAACAGACAGAGCTCAGCACACGCATGCCGGCCCAGGAAACCCCCCAGACGTCTATGGGTAACGGAAGCTGAGCCACGCCTATGAAACAAACGCATCACTGGGATGCCAATGAGAAGCTTGTTCACAGTCAGCAGTGTATATGCCATAGGCAGCAAGGGGACCAGATGGAGTCTTACTATGACAGACAGGCGACAGGGAGATGGTAATCAGCAGAGCCTCATATGAAAGGAAGCCAAAGGTGGGACACTAGTGGCTCCGTTTAACTGCATTAACGTGCTACTGACCGCAGAAAGTCTTGATCATGGCTGATCATTCAAAAATGTTCAATGATACCAATTAATGTCCAGCAGCTACGGCACTGTAGCAAAGAGCTGGTCTCAGACCTACAGACGCAGACCCAGGAAAAGAGGAGGAGCTTCTCACCAAAAACGCAGCACTTTGCTGATGGAAACTGCCTTTTATTTTTCAGGTCATCACCCCCACGTTGGCTGCATTATTTAAAAGGGCCAAAGTTTAAGACTACACTACAGATGTGGCTATTTAGAGCTTCTGGAGGCCCAGCCCTGCCCGGAATATTCACCGGGGTCCACATCACTCTCAATAGCAAGCAAACAAAACTGCCTCTATCTTATTTGTGCTGCTTGGCTGACCACAAGCCCTCATGGAGTATCTGCGAAAAAGCATATGAGGGGCTTTGTGCTGCTCTCTTTGGAGGACCTTTCTCTCTCTATAGTTACAAATCCGTTCTTATGAATAATAGGTGCACTGCAATAGCTGCTCTAGACAAAAAGTGTAATGTTCATGAAACTTTATGTTTTGCCTTGATTTACATCCATTAGATCCTTATCGCTAACTGTACTTAAAAATACACAACTATACATTTCTGTTTAATTTAAAACAGAATTTAATACAAACAGTAATCGGTTTGCTTTGGAGCCTATTAACTCTGGTCCATGCCGGCTCAGACCAGCAGAATCTCTAGTGGCCGAGCCGTCTGCTGTGACTGAAATGGAAACTATGCCGCGGAGCATCTGTGAGACAGATTGCATCTGTGTGTGTGTGTGTGTGTGTGGCAGGTGAAACCCTGGTCTGTGTGTATGTGTGTGTATGTGTGTTTGTGTGTGTGGCAGGAGAAACCCTGGTCTGTGTGTATGTGTTTGTGTGTGTGGCAGGTGAAACCCTAGTCTGTGTGTATGTGTGTGTGTGTGTGTGTTTGTGTGTGTGGCAGGTGAAACCCTGGTTTGTGTGTGTGTGTGTGTGTGTGTGTGTGTGTGTGTGTGGCAGGTGAAATCCTGGTCTGTGTGTGTGTGTGTCTGTGTGTGTGTGTGT